AAGTAGATGCAAGTTAGTGATAATTTTCTAATGCTGGCTTGTTCTTTATAATTAACGTGCTTCAAAACTCATTTGGGTATATCAAATAATACATTGAAAATAATAAGGGCAAGTGTTTATTCTGTAAAGAAAAGAAAGGTCGGTAGGTAGCTGGCAGATTTAATAGTACCTAGGAATAGAATGCCGGGTGTGTTAGTCTGGGTAGACTAGAAAAACAAATCAGGGAGACTCGTGTATAAGAAAGAGCTTTATGGCTTGAAGGTAATCAAGCGGCCATCAAGCTCAGAAGCAACAAAGCCCACATGGAAGAAGCACACCAGCCTATGCAACCACGAGGTGTCGAAGGGATCAGGTGTAAGGCATCATCAGAACAAAAAATCTCACCATAGTGAATGATGGGGGCAGTGCGGAGTGGAGATCCAAAGCCCATTAGTAGGCCACTGGAGATCCCCTTGCAGAGGGGTCTCGGGGAGGAGATGAGCCAGTCAGGGTGCGATGTAACAATGATGAGAAATACAACCTTCCTCTAGCTCCTAAAGGTTTCCTCCCCGCTCCCACTACCATGACTCGAATTCTATCGTGCAAGACTGGCTAGACCAGAGGAGGTACACTGGTACAGATAGGAACTGAAAATACAGGGAATCCAGGATGGATGAGCCCTATAGGACCAGTGGTGTGAGTGGCAAAACAGGGAGGGTAAAGGGAGAATGGGTAGGAAAGAGCGAACCGATTACATGGAACTGTGTGTGACCTCCTCCCTGGGGGACAGACAACCGAAAAGTGGGTGAAGGGAGAAGTCGGACAGGGCAAGATATGACAAAATACCCAGTTATAAACTATCAAGGGCTCATGTGGGAGAGGGGAGCGGGGAGGGAGGGGAAAAATGAGGACCTAATGTCGGGGGTTTAAATGGAGAGAAAATGTTTTGAGAAATGATGTACAAATACGCTTTACACAATTGATGTGTGTATGGATTGAGATAACAGTTGTATGAGCCCCTAATAAAAGTTTAAAAAAAAAAAAAGAAAGAGCTTTATATACAAGAGCAATTGAATATTGAGAAAACATCCCAGCCCAGATCGAGTCTATAAAGTGTGATGTTAGCCCATATGGCTGATACCAATCTATAAATTCTTCTTCAGACTCACGCAACACATGCAATAACGCCCAATGCAGGAAGATCACAGGCCAGTTGGTGGAAAGTCTTGTGGACCTAATGGCAGTGGAAGCATCTCAGTGCTGGCAGGGTCTCCATGTGGCTCCTTCAGCTCCAGGCTCTTGGTAGCTCCATGTGTCTTCTCAACAGGAAAGTCTCGCAGGGAGTGTGTGGGTCCCGCCTCCAGCGAGGTATTTATCTCCCTAGCACCTCCAAATGAGGTCATCAAGCTGTGACCTGATTGACAGACTAAACTCCACCCCTTCACTCATAAATCTCAAGCTGACAACAGATTATGTAACTACCACACCGCGTTTAGCGCACATCACATTATAGTAACCGCTGAGATTTAACTTCTGCTGGTGCTTGGCCAGCAAGCTTCCCTAAATCCATCTTCTCTGAGCTGCGTGTGTTCGCAGCTTGCCTGTGTGGTTAGTCATGTGGGATTAGTCAGCTGTGGCAGGGCAGTCACTAGTGTCTGGATGCTGATGTCTCAGCTTCTTAGCGCCTGAAGCTTGGTGTTCAGTTTAGACTAGGCTAATCAGGGACTGAGGTGGTGCTCTTTACGTTATGCATATTCATACGAGGCCACATGTATAACCGAGTGTAGATGAGTTAATTACAGTCAGCTGGAATTTTCCTGTTTACTCCCCACCAGGACCATTCTGCTGTCACTACTACCAGCACCATCCGACATTTCTTCCAGGGCATTTTTCATCTCATTTTCCCAAGGCGTTTATTTATTTTGGCCAGCAATCAAGTTAATAGACTATTTTCTTCATTCTAGTCTCAAAATTAAGTTGAGCTTAAAAGATGTTTACTATTCTTTCTTTTTTGTTTACTATTTCATCAGAGCTGAGTTAAATCTTAGTAGGTCACTTGACCCCTTTCAGCCTCTGTCTCCCTTGCAAAGCAATGGTGTTACTCCCAATTGTAACTGCCAGCGTTTCCTGGTCATTCAAGTGGGCGGCTGTCACAAACACATCTATTTTCTTAACCTTCACCAGGCTGGAGTCCGACTTCCTGGTGCTGACGCTCTCCGTCTGCTCTGGGAACCACACTAGTCTCAGCCTTTCTGGCATTCTTGGTGTTCCCTAGAGGTCTCCACGTGGCATATGCCTTTCCCCATTCATGCTTACTCTGTGCCTTATTTATACCTCACACCTTTTCAGTTCTCAGAAGTGATTGTTCAATAGCATCAAAAGAACGGATACTCAGATAGGATTACATGTATCAAGAAAACCAAACCAGTTGCCTTCAAGGAGATTCCAACTGGCAACCCTGCAGAACAGAGTAGAGTCATCCTCTTGGGTTTCCAAAATGGTATTTTGTACAGAGGAGCTCTGATGGTGGTGTGCACGTTGTATTGGGCTGGTAACCTCAAGGTCAGCAGTTCAAACCTACCAGAAAGGTCAGGTAACTCACTCAAGTTCACACAGTTGGCAAAGCTTGGGGCTTCAAAAAGTTCATGGAAAATATTCATTCTATTTAACATTTTCCTTGAGGTTTTTGAAGCCCCTTCATATGTTATTTCTCTGGGATAGATAATTGAAGTGGAATTGTGGCGTCACATGGTAAATTTAACTTTTACTTACTTATTCATTTTTAATTCAACTTTTAAAGAAATTTCTAAAATGACCATTTTATATTCCCATCACCAATACATGCATGTAAGGAGACTTCAAAAAATGTTTGTGGAAAAATTCCATTATCTTCTATTTTTCCATGAATATTTTTAAAACCCCTGGATTAGTGATTCTGTTGTTTGCTTTGTAGTCTTTTAAATACTTGGTATTGTCTGTCATTTTGATTATAATCTGATAGGGTCACTAAGAATTAGAGTCAACATAATGGCTGTGAGTTTTAGTGGCTGTAAAACTAACTTTTTTTTAATTGTAAAACACAATACAACAACAACAAAAAATACAAATTTTATCATTTAAACTTTTTAAAGTGTATAATTTGGTGGTGTTAAGTACACTGACAATATTGTATAATCATCATTGCTATTTTTCACATCTTTTTTCATCCCAAGCAGAAATTATAACCATTAAGCAATACTTTTCCATTGGGCCTGGTAACTGTTATTCTACTTTCTGCCTTTTTTTTTTTTATATTATTCAACTTTTATTTTATT